AGGATGTGAGGCCCCTCCACAAGTGTCCCCACAACCTCCCAAGCAGCTTCAACATGTCTTCCTTTCTGTCCACCCTGATGGACTGAAACACTGAAAGTCAGCCCAAACAAGTCTTTCCTCTGTTGGAACCTGGCTGGTCTAGTTGCTGCTGTGAGGAGCTGAGGGGCTGCCCACAATGCCCCCCATCATCTCTCCCATCACAAAGAGCCAAGATCTGTCCTACCTGCCACCCAGGAATCACAGGCATCCTTCTGTCACGCAGCGTGGTCTCATGTTAACAAAGCCTGCTTCCTCATGGTGCAGGACCTCCCTTGCCCTCAGAAACCTTTAAGAGTACATGCCTTGCTTTGTCTGTGGGACTGTAAAGTCTCTTGCAGCATACTACTGGCTGCAGTGGTGAGAGACCTCTTACCTGAAGGCCAATTCAACTCAACACCTTTCTTGGAAACCTCTTTCCTCATCTCCCACCCCCAAACCTGCCAGTGCTGTGGGATGGTCTGTATGTCAAATTGCTCTGATTGGTCAATAAATAAAACACTGATTGGCCAGTGGCCAGGCAGGAAGTATAGGCGGGACTAACAGAGAGGAGAATTGAGAGAACAGGAAGGTGGAAGGAGTCACTGCCAGCCACTGCCATGACAAGCAGCATATGAAGATGCCAGTAAGCCACGAGCCACGTGGCAAGGTATCGATTTATGGAAATGGATTAATTTAAGCTATAAGAACAGTTAGCAAGAAGCCTGCCATGGCCATACAGTTTGTAAGCAACATAAGTCTCTGTGCTTACTTGGTTGGGTCTGAGCGGCTGTGGGACTGGAGGGTGACAGAAATTTGTCCTGACTGTGGGCAAGGTAGGAAAACTCTAGTTACATGCCAGCCCCCTTAAGTTGCTTCTGTTAGGTGTGTTGGACACAGTGACATAAAGCTAAGTGACAAGGACATCAATATACTATGTATTCCTTGTCCTCTTTAAATCTTATTAGTCTTTAAAAGCTTGTTAAGAGGCTAGAGTGAATGACACACTTGAACTGGAACCAGATTTTTAGATTCTGATCACACATATGATGCTTAGCCTTTTGAACCTGTTTCCTTGTCTTTAAAGCTGTGTCAAGAGTAAGAACTGATGACTCCCCTCCTGCTCCCATGACTCCTTTAGGGCATGCCCACCATCTGCAGTTAGCAGGACAGGAAGAAAGAACTAAATGGCAGATTGATGTAGTCACTGCCTGGCCATGGTGTTCATCTCAGATCCCAGGTGGGCCTGGACTCCAGTGGCCAAAACCAAGGTCACAGACACTGATCCCCAGGAAGACAAACCTTCATCCTTTCCCAGGTGGCTATGGCTGTGGAGGAAAGGGCAAGGCAGTGTGGACAACAAGGGCATGATTTATTACCCTTTCCATTTTTTTTTTTTCTCAACGCTGTGGGAGAAGCTGGAAGTATGCACCGTGCCTCACTCTCTCAAGGTAACTAAAGCATAACACAAATGTTTTCCCTTCTGCCCTCATCTACTGTCTCCTTTCCCCCAAGGCAGGTGCTAACTAGGCCACACAAAACTCCTCTCATTACTGTTTGCTTCATTTGCATTTTCCAATTATAATATTATTGTCCTAAACTGAGGGTCCTGTTACTGGGGCAACCAGAAGTGGTGCTTATGCAGATTCAGCCTTTACTTAGACATCAGTTCTACTGCTTAAAAATCCACTCTCTGTGATTCAAAGAACAGAAAACACCCTGCAATCTTACCTGCCCTTTCCCCTCATCTTGTCTTTCTACAGACAAGATGTAGCTGAGTTTCTCCTGAGTCACTCACATAATTCATTTTACTTTTTACTTACCAGCCACAATCTTTCTCCTCCTCCGAGCACACTCCCCTCAGATCAATACTGCCTACTCAATGCCTACCCTGTGGGGCTGGGATGAGGTTAAATGCATAATGCATTTAAGATTTTAGTACCTTGCTCAGTGCATTGGAAAGAGCTCAATAAAGATTAACTACCAGCATTACTATCACTATTAATATTGGTGTTAATATTAATCTGTCCCCACCCTCATTACAGTATTTACATGGCTTGTTATTGCCACACTTCTTACTTCAGAGAATCTTAAATTCTCTCCTCTCTGTTCACTCTGCTTACTACCTCTAGCCAGACAAACCCAAGTCACAGAATGTCTGCTATCTGCTCTGGACTACTTCCAGACTGGAAGAGCCCAGAGACTTCCCTGCCTTGTCGTTATTGACTCCTGTCCCAAGCAGAGGCCAGGGCCACAGGAAACAGGTGGTCCTGTGCAGGTACCTCCAGGTCCCCCTTCCAAACTAAGATGAGGAGAGCAGCAGCTGGCGGGAAATGAATATGCCATAGACCGCGCTGCTGGAATAGCTATAAATAGGGAAAGCCAATGGAGTGGAAAGGCAAGTGTTTAAGAGCTAAGTGTTCTTTGCAACAGCAGGCCCGCACCTATTTTATCAAGCAGTATTTACATAAAAGAAGGCGTGGTGGTGCCTACGATATCGTTAGACATGGGCTGCTTCCTTACCACGAGGATGGAAGTCTGGGAGAAGCAACATCTGGAGAGTGCCTCAAGGACACCCCAACAGCCAAGACTCCCAGAAACAGACACAGCCATCTCCTTGTCCAACCAGAAGCTGTTGCTATCCACCCCCCACCCTACCCCCCATTCTCACAGCTCTTAACTCTCAGCCCACAGGCACTGTACAGAGTGCAAGTGGCTTCTGTGTCCCAAAACCAGTGTACCAAAGTGGACAGGTCTGCTTAGTCCCAATCCTGAGCCCCACAACACTTATTGTGGCTTCCATCTGCTGCTCAGGGCACCCCTCAGCTTAGCTTTGTAGGATCTTATGGCAGACATCAAGTCACAGACCACCGGTTCTTTGGTAGCAATCGTCCCCTAGAGTTCATACCCTTCATCTTAGCTGTGGGCTCTGTCTGCCACTTCCCCCACAGCATGGGACACAAGTAAGACTGGAACCCAGGTGTCTGTGGCCTCATATCCGTGGTTGCACAGATGACGCGCATTAGTGGTTAACTCTGAGTTACCAACAATGCACCGGTGTCATGTTGAGGAAAGAAATAAAAGCGCTTCCCTTTGGAGTCATTTAACTGAGAGAAAGTCCAGATTTGAACTCTCTTTTGAACTCTCTATTTCATGTTCTCCGTGTCTTCAGCCCTTTGTCTGTCTGTTGTATGAGCCTGAGTCTGTGCCTGCCTCTGTATCTGTCCGTCCCTGTGTGCCTGTGTATGTTATTCTGTGTGTGTCTATGTGTTGAGACTATGTCTGGCTGTGTGTGTGTGTGTGTGTGTGTGTGTGTGTGTGTGTGTGTGTGTGTGTGTGTTTCTGTCTGCGTGTGTCTCTGTGTCTGCCTGATGGTGTCTGTGAGTGGTGTGACTGTTGGTCCCTAACAAAAGCATTACTCTGTATTTATTCAACAGCATAGGAAACATCACATGGAGAAGGAATGAGATACTTGACAGAAATCTTTAACAGAGTTCTACAAGGGGTTAAGTCACCGACTGGCTCCAACTGACCCAGTCAATGACCATCATTGTTTATTAACCAGTGTCCCTAAGTGGGTGCTTTCGACCTGTATGGTAGAGTTTAGAAAGTTGCTTTCAACTTCTGTATTCGCTGCTTCCAGCTAATGACTCACTGGCATTATTCTGAGTCAGGGGCTTGTAAGAATATACAAGAGAGCAACTATGCAATCTTGGATTGTAAAAGTTGACTCCATGAGAAATCAAAGGCAAACAAGGTTGGTTGTTACGTTGTTCTCATAAAGGCAGGTTAAACAAACGGGCTGAGTTCATAGTAGGACAGCAGCCTTGGATGTATTATCAACTCTGTGAGATCCAGCAGAAGTTCCAGTCTCTTAGAATGCAAGAGATATGTTCAGAGTGTGGCATCACCACACTTGGATATGCTGTGCACCCATTTCTTCTTGGGGTCTTTCTTCCCCCACACTGCTTTGCGAATTTGCTGCTGTCTCTTGTGTGCCATATTTAACCAGCAGACACCTTTGACTCCGGCTAAGGGAGGTCACCTCCCTTTCTCTCCGAGTCTTCAGAGCCACTCTGCTTCCTCCTGCAAGCCTACCCTCAACCATTTCAGAAATCTCAGGTAATTCTTGTGCCCTCAGCCCCAATGCTTTATCTCTCAAAGCAACCAAACGCCAAGTTGGCCACTTGCATGCATGGGAGAAAGGAAATGTAAGTAGTGACCAGGCAGTAGCATTTAAGAAATGCTGATTCCACAGTCTACCTACACAGTCTGTCCTTTCAGGAACTCCCCCACGCCCACACACTCCAAGCGCCAATGCTCTGTTTTAGCCCAGCCTTGGCGATCTTCTCTCGCCCACCAGCTCTTTGCTGGCTCAGCTTGCTCATGCTGGAGCCAGTGAGGTGGTCTGGGAAAGAAGTGGATGCTGGGCAGGATGCCTTATGGATCGGCTCTGTCTTGTCATTGGTTTCTGACATTTTTCTTTTAAATCATGGGTTTCAAGGACCACTCAAAATAAAATCGTTATGTTGCAAACACTGAATCACAGCTATGACCCAAACGATGGCGCAAAGCTGTTGCCAACCTTGGCATCCTTTAGTCATTCAAAGGAGTGAGTGGTTCCTGATCAAATGCCGAGGGGCACAAGCAAACAAAAGAACGTGAATGTGGGAATGAGGTTAGTAGACTTGGGGTGTACAAGGGAAGGAGGGAGATAGGAGGGGTGAGAGCCATCGGGGTGCATTACACACATACATGGACTTGTGAAAGAATGAATTCAATTAATGATAAAAGGAAGTCAGTAGTTGTCTGTTCTATGCAGAGCCCATGGCTAGGGGAGGCTCCGAATAATGATTTGTCTTTGTCTTCACATACTTAATTGATAATTTTGAATGTTTACTATGGGCATTCTGCTCGGCTCGGAGGACATAGCAGGGACAGAGAAAGCCAAGGTGCCCGGTGGAAGAATATGTGAGGGGATGTACCTGTTAGTTTCTGTCACCTTGACACTGGCTAGGTCCACCGAGGAGGAGGAGGAGGGAGCCTCGCTTGAGGAATTGCAGCATTTCTTTTTCATTCATGGCTGATGTGGGAGAGTCCAGCTGACTGTGGGTAGTGCTGCCTCTGGACAGGTGCTCCTGGGTTACATAAGAAAGGGGGTTGAGCAAGTCACGAAGAGCAAGACAGTGCGCAATATTCCTCCACGGTTCCTGCTTCAAGCTTCTTTCCTGGCTTCTCTCGACTGATGGACTGTAACCTGTAAGATGAAATAAACCCTTTCTTCTCCTAAATTGTATTGGAGCACAGTGTTTATCACAACAACAGAGAAAGCAAACTAGAACAGGGAGTATATGCAGGATGAATAAATACACAAATAAATTAGAGACAGAACGACAAGAAAGCAGAATAAGGGGACAGAGGATGACAATGGTCCTCTTTTCACGGAGGCTGATCAGTGAGGGTCACTCCGATGAGGTGACTCGAACACAGTGCCAATGGCAGACGGGTGACAGGAGAGGATCATTCCTGAGACTGAGCAGCAAAGGTGATTGTGCTTCGTGGGGAGCAGAGTGATGGAGGACGCACAATGGACTGCAAGCTCTGGGACAGGGTGGAGGGAGCCTCAGTGAGACCCCAAAAGGCCAAAGCCTGCAGAGCTCATCATGGCAGACATCCCTGCTCAAGTGTTAAGAGAGAGCCCTAAGCCCAAAGCAATGTGATGAATCCCCCAAAAGCTCTCTCAGGCTCAGGTGCACAGAGCACAGGTGAGTAGAGAGATGAGCAGGCAGCCCCTGGCATGAGGAGGCTGGTGCGTGACCAGGGATGGGCAGCAGAGACAGAGAAGTGGATATAACTAGGATGTCCTGGTTTGTTTTCTGTGGCTATACCTGGATACTACTGGCAGGTAAAGAATGGAGGTTTATTTGGCTCAGAGTTCCGGAGACTGTCAAGTCCAAGATCATGGCCTTGGTGTCCAGCAAATGCCTTCTTGGTGTATCAAAACATGGTGGAGGGCATCTGTTGGTCAGACCGAGCAAGCTTGCCAACTTGGATCTTCCTTCCTATTCATAAAAAAAATCACTAATGCCATCATGGGGAAATCCATCTTCATGGCTTCATCTAATCCTTATTTTCTTTCACAGACATCCACGTCCAAATTCCACTGACACATGGCCTTGGTGATTAAGATCCTAACACATAAATTCTGGGTAACCAGCATTCAAACCACAGCACAGAGTATATTCTGGTCCTGGAGATGACAGGTCATATTGAAAAACAGAATATTGGGATTGAAATAAAAAGAAACCCAGCAAAATTTAGACATCCTCCCCCCATTCCAGAGAAATCTACAGATCATGAAAGACCCCTCCCACCCCTATGCAAAGTAGAAGTCAAGGTCACCTATGTCACCCTCATGTATTTGTGACTATTATCACCCCAGTCTTTACAATGAGAAATTTGTGTAAAATACCCTATTCTCAACAATGCCCCATGGACCAACTTCTCATGATTTTATCTTGGAACTTTCTAGAAAACTTATTTACACTCTCCAGTTGCCTGATCAGGACAATCTAGAGCTTAGAAATTCCATCTGGGCTGTCTCATAACCTGGACGACATGTGCATGGACATCTGGTGATATTTTGTTCATCAGATTCTGCAGATGAGATGCCCTGGGTTACCTTAGCCTCCTCTAACTTACGGTCATGACGATACACTCATTTACCTGTAAACACATTGGCAACATGCTCTTCTCTAACGCAGTGAAAGCCAAATACACTTGTGTGCAGTAGCTGGTTCTTCGTGGTGTAGCTTGAGGCACCAGAGCCAGCATCATCCCGAGCGACATCTTGAACTGGTCTATATGGAGGACTACATGCTCCACCTCTCTAAGCTTCCCTATGAAGATTCTCGCTGCCAAAGATTGCTGGTGTAGATTAGTCATGTCCTCAAGCCGTAGGAATAGCAGAGGATTTTAGCAACAACACCTTAGGGAAGTCACCTCATAGTTCCATTTCACAGATGAAGAAATTGAGCCCCAAAGAAGTGGCCCCTAATTACAGTTAGAATAAAGTCTGAGTCATGTATTAAAGGGTTCTGGCATGCAAGATTTTCTGCCCCCTGTTCCAGCCCTTCCTGTCTGGCTCCTAAACAGAAAGAGGGTAGAGAAGACTGCCTCTGACTGGGGTTCCAGTGCCCCCATCCACCAGCTTCCCCATCCATCCCAATTCCATTTCTTCCCACTACAAACATTCTGGGTAACCCCAGAGTTCCCCGGAACTACTGCTGGGAGCTCAGGCCCAGCCCCCCTCCCTTTGCTAGCCTCCAGGGTACAGGGAAGCCTCATATGGCCTGTCTGGGTCCCTGCAAACCCCTCTGGGGCTTTGGCCTGAACCCCTCTCGTGGTCCCCAGGCACGCAGCCCGGCTTTACTTTCTGCCCTCCACCAGACAAGGGCTCCACTATTGATCCTGGCGCTGCCCGCAGCCGCCTGTGCCAAGAGATGCAATTTACCACCAGCTCGGAGGTCACCGCGGAGGAGGCCAGCCGCCCGCTGGCGCTTTTATGTCGCTATAAAAAACCATTTAAAGGGCCACTTTGTGAGCCTCAGCGCAGCTTGCAGCACAGGAGGAGGGAGGCAGCGGGATCTGGGGAGCATACCGCCCCCAGGCTGCCTTTCAAGCGCCCGAATCAGATTCCAAACCCCAGAAACCTGTTTCCTCTCTCGATGAACTCGGGAAAGGCTAGGGCAGGCATGGGACGCCCGGTACAGCCCCTGCATCCCCCTGGCAGCGCAGGTAAAAGGCGGATGCAATCAGGACCCTTCTTAACTCCCCATCGCCTCTAAGACCCCTATACCTTGCTCTGCGCGGACATGCCCCCTCATCTTCCTTTTCCATCTTTGGGCAGACGTAGGTGCTATTACTGCCCATTTCTCAGAGGGAAAACCCGAGGAACAGAAAAGCGAAGTGAGCTACGGAAAGTTTCACAGCTAGCAAACAGGAAAGCCTGGGTTTAAAGTAGGATCGTCCGACCCCAAAGCCAGTATCTTAATCTCCTTAGGACTCCGTGGCACCACATTTTGGTAAATCTAAGGCATTCAATTCAGCCACAAAAACTCAGGCACTTGCTTAATAACAAGGAGGACGAAAGACGCTAAAACCATGTTGCAATCCCCACTCGGCTCTGCCTGCTCGATTATGCCACCTACAGGTAGAGTTGATCATTGCTTCTTGGACCACCACTAAATTCTTTTTCAGTTTCTTTTTTAAATTCCTTGGAGTGCCTCCTATTCATCAGAGTTTTTTTGATTTCTGACCTAGGTCAGAAGCATGGAACTGGCCTGTAGGTTGGCGCCATAAATGCCTACGATCTAGTGGGGGCCATCGAAAAGGGTGATTATAATGTGAAAAGAGGCAAGGAAGACAGGCGGCCTGCAGAGTGTGTCCTTGAGTTACCCTCTGAAGGATAAGTTTTCCAGGCCAAGTAGAGTTGGGAAATGAGTTCCTGGCATGAATGAAGACTCAGGGATGATGGAGGACACAGCACCGCTGGCAGTCATCAGTTACCACAGCAACGAAGTCATCCCACCATGTCCACTCTGCATATGGTCTTGTACAGAGTGTTATGCAAGTATCAGATGCCTGCATTCACCATAGAAAACCCGAGTCCTCTCGAAAGAGAAGCAACGCGGATCAGGCCCAGTTCTTGGCGGGACTTCCTGTTAGTTTCTTTGAAATTGACTGTTTTGTTTTGTTTTGAGACAGTCTGGCTGTGTAGCCCAGGCTGACCTGGGACTCATGAGCCTGTCACTGGGGTTATAGGTGAGCACTGCCACCACCAGGGATTTCTAGACAGTTCTTGCAAACTAATTTGTCACTTCTTAAGTGACTAAAGGGCTCAATGCTGAGAGACTCAGCTAGCTTCTCTTTCCTATACAGTCACTCGGGATACAGTATGCCCCAGGCTTCCTTGAACACCAGCAGCAACAGATGCATGCTTCCTCTTAAGGGGAAGGAAGCAATGAAGGCCTCCTTCAGTAACTGCTCCCACACTGAAAGGCAGAAGAAGCTGGAGTCTGACATCAGCAGAGCATGGCCTGGTGCACCTCACAAGGGGGCGCAGGGGAGTATCTTCATCCAACACCTGCCTGTGGTGTGTTGGGGCTTGCTGCTTTGCTTTGCAAGCCTCCTCCAAAACACCTCCTTCCGGACAACCCCCTCCCTCCAGGCAAAACACACACACACACCCACATACCCACACACACCCTCACCCTTCACCCCCACCCTCCATCCCTGCTCCACCGAGCCTGCAGTTTCCACCTCTGCCCCAGGCTTCCCTGGCATCCTGTCACCCTTTTTCTAGGTGTCATCTCAGTTCTGAGTCCAGCTCCTCCGCCTGTGGAGGCTCCACGCCCCCCTGGCTTAGTTCCCTGTCTTGGCCATCTGTCTTCGCTGTTCTGTGTTTTTCAGTCTCTGTTTCCTGGAGTGCGATGGTCTTGGTTGTCAGCCTGACTGGATTAAGAGATGGGTAGGAGTGGTGAGATGTACCTCTGTATGTCTGTGAAGGGCGTTTCAGAGAAGGTCTGCATGTGGGACAGAGGCTAGGGTCAATAGACAGGCCCAGAATGTGGGCAGCGTCTTCCAATGGGCTGGTGTCCCAAATGGAAGGAACCTGTAGGAAAGCAGAGAATGTCTACTGCCCGCCCCTTTTTCCTAGTGAGGTGCACAATGCCATGGTCTGCTGACCTCAGACTCCTGCTTCTTCTGCCTTTCAGTGTGGACTCAACATCAGTGACTCTCCAGGGAGCCCCAGGCTTCAGGCCGGCATCCCAACTTCATGGACTGGGAAGGACTGGCTTCTCTACCTCTCTAGCATGCAGACTGCCACGTTGGACTACCTGATCCCTGTTGTGCAAGGCAATCTGATAAATCCTCTTTGTAACACATACATCTATTCTGATTTTTTTCTTTAGAGAATCCTAAGACTAACCCCACCCTGAAATTTCTCATATCTCTCTCTCTGTCTCTGTCTGTCAGTCTGTCTGTCTCTCTCTCTCTCTCTCTCTCTCTCTCTCTCTCTCTCTCTCTCTCCTCTACTGATTCCCATAGAAACGTGTCTTCTACTTCCCTAGTCTCTAGAATGTGAATAATGGTCACTCTCATTATGCAGATGGAGAAACTGAGGCTTGGAGAGGAAATGAATACAAAACTGTCACTCAGTCATAGGATCACTTTGGTAGTAAAGGCCAGCTCTAACTGGCACTGGGTGTGAGGGGCTTATCTGAAGGGACCCTCCAAGAGGAGAGCCACCCGGTCGGTCCCTTGCTGTACCTCTCTATGCCTGAGGCACTTGGTGAATATGTGTTGACTCAAATGAATGTTCAAATACCTTCATGACTTTCCCCCCAGCTTGCCTGGAGGCTTTTTCTGTAAAGTTTTATAATTTAGTAATAAATGCACTTGGTTATAATATGTATCATTGTGTCTCATCATTCCCAAATTACTTTATGAATTAAATAACTCAAAAAGTAAACTAGAGTGAAACTCAACACAATCCCGAGCCTATCCATTCATCCCTCCGTCCTGGCTGTCAGATGCCAGTGCTTTCTTAAATAGGAGAGAACACTGTCAACATATTAATTTGGAATAGCTCTTGAGATACACTCAGGCATGGCAGTATCAAAAAAAAAACTCAAGAGAGAGACAAAAATAATCAAAATGGATGGATTTGGGAAATCCTATTCTAAATGCTATGGATCTGAAAATATTTACTGAAAGAAATATACCCATTCTAGGAAGGCTGTTCAGCAGACAGAAGTGGAAAAGGCTTCTACCAGAATGAGATGCAGAAAATTTGGCAAATGTTCACCAGAAATAAAACGATAAGTTAAACCCTCCCTTGGGCAAATGGAGGAAAATGTCCATATACGTGGGCTTTTCTGTGACCCAAACACTCACTCCAACTCTGCTACACTAGGTCTAACATGCTCAAGTTATAACGACAAAAAATATCAATAATTACTGATAAAATAGAGCTGTTGAAACTGTGATAGGTTATGTGCATGTTCTATCTATCTATCTATCTATCTATCTATCTATCTATCTACCTACCTATCTACCTATCTACCTATCTCATTCTCAAGGTATCTTATTGTACTTTTACATTTCCAGATAAGGACGCACTTTACAGTTTCTCTTTGACATCTCCAAACATTGTTGAATAAAACAAGGGCTTACCTAACACGTGCACTCTGCTGTCCAAATGGCCACCTGAAAGCTGAGATGGGTACTAAGTGACTGATTGGAGGGTAGTGTAGGCAGATTGGATACTCTGAACACAGGGGTGATCTGTGTCTCGGGTAAACGAGTTGTGAAATTTTAGTTGTGCTACTTAGAACAGCATACAAAGTAAAACTTAATGACTGTTTATTTCTGGAATGTTCCATTTAGTATTTTCAGTGTATGGTTCTTCACTAAAACCCCAGAAAGTGAAACCACGGATTAAAGAGGACCACTGTGCTTCCCCTATAGAGAGTACTGGGTACGGCACTCTACCATGTTCAGTTTAGGCAAATTGGTGTAGACAAATGGTTGGTACCCTATTTTCTTACCCCTAACATTCCTTCCTCTAGGCCACAAACTTTCATGAGCCCCTGGGAGACAGATTTCTGGAGCTGACCTGGAGAGAGACAGACTTAAGTAGCCTGGGTGGGTCCCGATGTCCCCATGGGGTCACTCATGAGATCTGCTTAATCACAGCTGGTAACATGGATATCTGGTGGTACCCAGTGCACTTGGGAAGAAAATAGATAGCCTTCCCTCTCACACCAAATGGCCTTTTCATGTTTCTGGCTCGACATGCGTGCAACCAGAAACCCTCAAAACATCAGTGACTTGAACAGCCAGCCTACATTTTTTTTTCCTCCTTCAATGACAAGCCCTGATGTAGGACGCGCTGCTGACTCTGTGATCACCAGGGACCCAGGCTCCTTCTGTCCTGGTGTTCCAGTCTTGTCACCACATGACCCAAGACTGGCCGCTTGTACTTAGCCACTATATCTACATTCCAGGGAGCCAGCAGAAGAAGAGAGACAGACATGTTCTTCTCATGTGAGGGGACTTGAAAGCCTATGCAATACTCTAAGAACACCCCATTGACTTCAACCTAATCACACACTAGCTGCAGGCAAAGGCAGAGGAGAGCCTTTGACCTCAAGTGGCGATGAGCCCAACACATCAACAGTTGGTTAGCCAAAGAGGAAGAGTAGGATGCTGGCAGTCTTAGCCACAGTGTCCACCTGTCTGCAGCAATCATCGGGGCAGACGTCCAGCCCCTCTGCAGCTGGCATGTCCCGATGTGACTGACATCAGGCTGAGACGTCTGGTCTTGCAGACTCTTTTCCTCCTCCATCCTCTGAACTTCCACCTCAGGTTTTTGCAGTCCGCCCAGAGGTAAGACGTGAGGCCCCTCCAGCAAAATGGATTGTCTTGTTTGGCGGATTTGGAGTGCTCCTTTTGTTTTAGTTTCTGATATTTGAGAGCCAGGCTGTTTCACAGGGGAATCCAGAGTACCAGGCCCTCTTTCACAAATGAACTGAGAATCTGCCCATACTAGGACCACCCCTATGTGTGGCCACAGCTGGCTCAGCCAAGTAGAGCTGCCCTGTGGAAGAAGCATGAAATAAACCCCCACACTCACCTGTGTCCATCTGACCTAAGAAGCATACGTCTTAGGTCCTTGTTCTTTCTTTCTTTTTTGAGAATGCTGGGAATTAAGCCTAGGGCCTCCTGCAGGCTGGGCGGGCACTCTACTACTGAGCTGTATCCCTCGCCCTCCTTTGACTTTTTATTTTGAGACAGGGTCTCTCTAACTTGCCTAGGCTGGCTTTGAATCCACTCTGTAGCTCAGGCAGACCTTCAACTTGAGATCTTCCTGTCTCAGTTCTGATGCTACCCCTGCCAAATTGGTGGCCCCAGAGCTCTATGTCCTCCCCTAAGGGAGGTTCATGGGTAAAAGGCACAACACAGCTGTGATGACAAGCCTCATTTTAAATCCTGCAAGTCTAACCTCCCTTAGTCCCTCTTGCTGCTGGGAATGGGTGCAGTAAACTCTGGAATAGCATAAGGGGTTTTGCTTCAAAGGAACTCAGGCTCATTAGATGTGGTCTGTGCAGTTCATAGTCACGGACCTGGCAAGTATCGAGGTGCACATCTGCGATCCCAGCACTCAGGCGCTGCAGCAGGAGGATCAATGATTAGAAGTCAGCCTGGATTACATGGTAAGCCTGACACAAACTCACAGACCTCCTGTGAGTTACTGAGCCCCCATAATTCTTAACTCATATGTGTTACAAAGATGTGGCAACATCACAAATCCCTGGTAGGGCATTCTGAGCTGGATGCATCATCCCATTCTTACCCAGATGTAGAATGTCAGCTAATCGAGAGGAAATGTCAGACAAGCCCAGACTGAGAAACATTCTCCACCATAACAGACAAGAGTTCTCCAAAGTATCAAGGTCCTAAAAGACCGTCCACATGGAGGAAGTTGGGAAGACAGGAGAATGAAATGCAAGTGGCGTCCTGGACAGGAAGGGTGTTTGGAGAACCCTGCTGAACTCTGTGTCAACTCTGCAGCCTTCAGAGTTGACTATTGTCTGTTCTTGACAATCCAACTACAGTTTTGTAAGACATTGATGTTGGTGTAAGTCAGGTAGGTCCAGGACATTCAGGAACATTCTACCACTTGGTCAGCTTTTCTATGTCTAAAATAATTTGCAAATAAAAAGTTGAAAATAAAGTTATTATAAAAATGTCTATCTTGGAGCTGTGGAGGTGGGTCCAGTCAGTTCAATTCTTGCCACGCATGTATGAGGACTTGAGTTCAGTCTCCAACACCCATGTAAAAACCTGGGTGTGGTAACACATGCTTGTAATCCAGCATGGGGGCTAGGGGTGGGGGTGTAAAGACAGGAACATCCTTAGGGCTTGCCAGCCTAGGTTGCTTGGTGAGTTCTAGGTCAATGAGAGATCCTATCTAAAAGAAAGAGAGGGGGAGAGGGAGAAGGGAGGAAGGAAAAGAAAAGTGGGCAGAGCCTGAGGAATGACATCGAGACCTATGACCTACACACACACACATGCGCCAGCATATACTCACACACGTGTGTGTATACCCTCACTGGGTTTATCTCATGGAGGCACAATGGTGATAGAGACATCATATACATAAAGAATGCATTGCTACAACTGGGACACATGCCTGTCATCACAGCACTCAGGAGGATTGAGTGTTGAAGGCCAGCCTGGCTCCATAGCAATGCCACCTGCAGCTCTTGAAGCATTCGGCATCAGCCAAGCTGAAGACTCACTGCACGCCAGTCTCACCCATCAAGGAAGGTACCACCATACTCCTTTTAGAGATGAGCTTGAAGCCTAAACAAGGCTCTAGCTTACCTGCTTGAACATGGTCTGTCCTTGCCAGGTTTGCAGGGAGCTCTCTTCCGGGGGCTACCCATACAGCGTAGGGGAGCCCTCTCTGTTCTCACCGGTGGCCCCCACACCCACTCTTTTCCGGCTTTGATTTATACTTCCGGAAACCGGCTGCTCTTGCCAGCTTCCTGCTCCTGCCTTTGGATTTCATTAGCAAGCCCCGTTCTAATTGAACTTTCATTCACTGGCCACAGATCGGCAGTTAATCAAGCTGTTCCCAGCTTGGCTCGCTCCTTTGGTGGGGGCAGAGACTTCAAGCAGCACTCAGTCCCACTCCCGGGGCAACATACCCTGCTCTCCAACTGCGTCCTAGGACACAGTTGTCCCTGTGTTCCCAGGACACCGTGCTCCTAGTGATTTCTAAAGAAGGCTGTTAGATTCGGATGGTAATCACAGCCCCTTCTGGCACATTCCCTGGACTCTTGGCCTCATTAGAAATCCTCTCCTTGCCTGCTTCCAGCCTCTCGCTTACAAGTAAACGCTAGCCTCTGCTCTCCTGCCTGCCAGACTCTTGGGGCACCTCGTTTACTTTTTTCTTAAAGTAACATTTATTGTCGCTTTCTCTCATTCTCTGATTAAGGAAAGAATATGTGCTCATTGCAGAAAAATTGGAAAATGGGCAAAATCACAAAGTAGAAAATAAAACTCAATCATAATGTCACCAGCCAGAAATAAGCCCTGCTGATATATGGAAGTACAGAGGTTCCTGGACTTTCTTAAATATGGCTTTTGTGAAAAATTACACATCATAGGTCCAAATCCCTATCTGGAGATCCAGACTGCAAGTAAAAACAGGGTGGTTGACCCCATTGTATGATTCTGATGGACACCAGTCTTATTGTAGCCTACAGGAATGGCACCTCCCGAAGTTGTACGGTGCAATCTGTACAGCTGTATGTGGTGGCTGTGCAGAAAAAGGCAGTGTTGAGCAAGCCACCCCTGGGCACAATGCTAGGATTCTTCAGGAAGTCTGGATCACCGGGCCCTGCCAGCTGAAAAATGATTTGAGGTCACCCAAAGACTGTTCCCTCCTGACTCAGGTTTCCCTCTTCACACTCCTACTGACCCACCCACCCACCCCCTTTTTGGGGGGTTTCCAGAGGAATGTCTCCAAGCCTGTTTCTTATGCAGTCATCCTTGGTCTGGCTGTCCTGGGTTTGGACAGTGCAGGGGCATCCAGCAAAAGTCCCACCATGGAGATAAAGAGGGAAAGTCCTTATCTCTGCACTTGAGAGGTACAGAGGCTAAAAGGGTGGGGCTTCCCTGACCACCTGACCTGGATCCTGAGGAGAGGAAGGAAGAGGACCAGCAGGCAGGGAGATGCTCCGGTTGCTGTTCCTCATGCACCATTCCTTCTTTGGGAAGGCATTCCTTCTCATGTGACATGGCAGGAAGAGGAGTCATTCTGTGCTGGACTGTGAGTGCCTGGGAACCAGACATGAGTCTGGAGTGAACCTCAGCTGTGTTCCTGTGACCTGCAGAGGCACCTTCTCTGCCCATGTCATCTTAGGTCCCTCTCTGTCTCCCTCTGCTTCCTGGCTGCCATGAGGTGAGCAGCTCCCCACTACCCTCTCTCACAGTGATATCTCGAGGCCTTAAAGCAATGGAGCCAGCTGACCATGGATTGACATCTTGGAAACCATTAGACAAAATGTTTCTTTCCTCCTTTGTATTTCTCTGAAGCATTCATCACAGCAACAAAATGTCTGATGAACGCAGACTTCATGGAGAAAAGGAAGCCACATACTGTCTGCCAGTTGTCAAAATGGTATAACTATGTTCTGGGAAAAATCAATATTCCCCTTTTATGTTACTTCTAATCATACAGTTCCATTGTATGAATATACATAAAATTATATTTCTTATTTATGAGCATTCTCACTATTTTTCAAGTTTTATACACTAGGAATAAACCATGGTTTATCTATGGACTAAATATTAATCTTTGTCCATAAATGTTCATCCAGATAGGGTATGGTGACACACACCTATAATCCCAACACTCAGGAAGGAGATGCAGGCGCTACCACAGTCTAAGCCATGAGAAAGCCCATCTGAAAAATAATAGTAATGGCCTGGAGAGATGGCTTGGTGTGTAATGGCCCTTTCTGCTCTTGTAGAGGACCCAAGCTTGATTCCCAGCACCCACATGGAAGCTCACAAACTTTCTGTAACTGCAGAGGATACAATTCCCTCTTCTGACTTCTTCATGCACCAAACACACATATGTCCATCTGCACACATTCAAACAAAATCCCAAAAAATGAAAATAACCTTTTAAAAAAAAGTTTTCCATGCACTTTATATAATAAATCTATCTATATTGCTTAATGTTTAGGTACCTAGTCAAATGGTATGCATTTGAATATCTAACTTGAATATCTAACTGCCTACACACAAATTATATCAAATTTCTAGATATGGTATATAAGTGCTCCTGCTTTCTGACCCATAGCGGCTATAGAGATACATCATTGAGTGGGCTACCTAAATATAGTCTTTTGAGTTATCAGTCAAATATCACTAGGGGACCCAAAATACTGAACATCATATTCACCAGAATTTTTCTTATGGTCGTGATCTCACAGGCTGGGAGGAATTGCTCTTCTTAGAGGAAGAATGTAGGCCCTCTAGAGGCTGGTTTGGAAACAGTGCTTTTAAACTCCTTATCTAAGGATGGTGGTCCACAAAACTGCAAGCCCATTATTTGCTTGGTGAAGCTAAGCTGTATGACCAGGTCATCTCAGAGAAACCAAAATCCACTGAATTCTTCTTCACTCTTCTCTATGGACTAAATATTAATCTTTGTCCATAAATGTTCATCCATATAGGGTATGGTGACACACACCTATAATCCCAAAGGTTTCTCTTCTTTAGACCCACTGAACAAATATTTACTGAGCAGTAGTCCTAAACATGCAAAGCATGGTTATCAACCAGACTGTTTGTGATTATCTGGCATGAGTTGAAGAACAGCATCTTTGGACTCCCTACTCCTTAAAGGGAGGTGGGGGGTTGTATAAATATTCATTCCTCTGGGTTACCTCACTCAGGATGATTTTTTTTCTAGATTCATCCATTTGCAAACCTCATGATGTCATTGTTTTTCTCTGCTTAGTAGTACTCCATTGTGTATATGTACCACATTTTATTTATCCATTCTTCCATTGAAGGGCATCTAGGTTGTTTCCAGGTTCTGGCTATTACAAATAGTGCTGCTATGAACATAGCTGAGCATGTGCCCTTGTGGTATGATTGAGCATTCCTTGGGTATATGCTCAAGAGTGGTATAGCTGGATCTTGGGGAAAATGCTTTCTTTTTACCATTGTACAGTTTTGGCTTCCATGGAATGTACTCACTCATAGATGGATACTAGATGTAAAACAAAGGATGAATAGACTACTACTCACAACTCCAGGGAGTCTACCTAGTAAAGAGGACCCTAAGAAAGACACAGGGACTGCCCAACAACAGAGAAATGAATGAGATCTACATGAGCAAACTGGACGTGGGGGGCGGGGTAATGAAGGGCAAGGGTCAGAGGAAAGAGAGCTTAGGGGAGCGGGAGATCCCTGCTGGATCAAGAACAGAGAGGGAGAACAAGGAATAAGAGACCATGGTAAATGAAGACCCCATGGGAATAGGAAGAAGCAAAGTGCTAGAGAGGTCCCCAGAAATCCACAAAGATACCTCCACAATAGACTACTGCCAATGGTCGAGAGAAAGCCTGAACTGACCTACTCTGGTGATCAGATGGCCGAATACTCTAACTGTCATGGTAGAACTCTCATCCAATGACTGATGGAAGCGGATGCAGAGATCCACGGCCATGGCTGAGCCCCAGGTGGAGCTCTGGAAGTCCAATCAGTGTGAGAGAGGAGGGATTGTATGAGCAAGAGATGTTGAGACCATGATTGGAAAAAGCACAGGCACAAATAACCAAACTAGTGGAAACACATGAACTATGAACCAATGTAGATGTAACCAACCATCTTATTAAATAAGAAACACAGAACCAATGTAAAAGAGAAAGCTCAGAGCTAAAATCTTACCCTTCCTCCTGCGAGCTCCTAGCTTCCTGAAGAGACCTATTTCCTGTCTGTCCATCTTTTCATAGTCTTTTGTTCTGCCTTCTCATTGGTTGTAAACCCAAACACGTGACTGCCTCGTCACTGTCTGTATGTACAGCCCCCCAGGTCTTAAAGGCATATGTCTCCAATGCTGGCTGTATCCCTGAACACACAGAGATCTATGGGATTAAAGGCATGTGCCACCACCGCCACACTCTGTCTATGGCTCTAATAGCTCTGACCCCCTGGTAACTTTATTTATTAACATACAATTAAAATTACATTTCAGCTGGGCGGTGGTGGCGCATGCCTTTAATCCCAGCACTCGGGAGGCAGAGCCAGGTGGATCTCTGTGAGTTCGAGGCCAACCTGGGCTACCAAGTGAGTTCCAGGAAAGGTGCAAAGCTACACAGAGAAACCCTGTCTTGAAAAACCAAAAAAATAATAAATAAATAAATAAATAAAATAAAATAAAATAAAATCACATTTCAGTACAATTAGAATACCACCACAAACCAATAGCTGAGGAGCCCCTATGGAACTGGATCAGGCCCTCTGAATAAGTGAGACAGTCGATTAGCTTGAACTATTTGGGAGGCCCCCAGGCAGTGGGACCGGGACCTGTCTTTAGTGCATGAGCTGGCTGTTTGGAGCCTGGGGCCTATGCAGGGACACTTTGCTCATCCTGGTGAAGGGAGGCGGGGACTGGACCTGCCTTGACTGAATCTACCAGGCTGATCTGAATCCCCAGGAGAGTCCTTGCCCTGGAAGAGATGGGAATGTGGAGTGTATTGGGGGAGGGGGGCAGGAGGAGGGAGGACAGTGGAATCTGTGACTGATATGTAAAATTAAATTAATTATAAAATTAAAAAAATTCATGCCTCTCCTGCTTATAAGCAAAAGGAAATATAAAGGGCACCATAAGACATTTAAACAGTGTCTAATGAGGATGTTAGTCTGAACAAAGGAAGACATATTTACTAGCTCTGTTTGAGAGGCCATAATGGCATCAGTTGTTAAACTTATTTCATTAAGTTGTGCAGCTCTTGTTACTCAGTGAATTGTTCTTTTGTGTATGTGGCCATGTGTGTGAGTGTCATGTGTGCAGGGGCTTGTATGCATTCCACTGAACATGTACATTTACATACATACAGATGGAGGCCAGAGGACAACCTTGAGTGCCAGTCCTCAGACACCATCTACTTTCTATTTTTTTAAACAGGGCTCTTGCTGTCCCA